CTACGGTGAAGGGACTTTCATTTCATCTTTTGTCTCAGGAGGCCCTAAATTTTATACTCATCGCGTAAAAAAACCTGATGGGAGTATTGCCGAAATCAGTAAGATAAAAGGGGTTAGTCTGAACTATGAGACGCGTAAACAGATACATTATGACTCGATTCGAGCCCTCGTTGTCGATAGAGCAGAACCTTACCAGATCAACTACAAAGGAATACGGCGCACAATGTATCATGACGTCATCACGAAAGCGGAAAGTAAGATTATAAGGGCGACAGGCCCAAAACGACGCCACGACACCGGAGCGACAACATTGCCTTATGGCTATGAAAAACATCGAAAACTTTCTTAAAATAGATTTAAAAATGAATGTAAAAAACATGGACGTATTTTTGTTAATATAATTTTTTTTTATTTAAACCTTAGCCTATAAATACATTTTTTTTTAAAACACTTTTCTAAAACTAGAGGGCGGGGTAAATAAGGGAGTGAGAGAGAGAGAAAGAGAGAGCGAGATTTTTTTTTTTTATAATTTTTTATTGAAAGAACCTAACTTAAAAAATGTCCATTTTTAACAATTTTTTTTTTAAGATTTTTTTATTGAAAAAACCCAACCCGAAAAACGACAATTTTTGACGATTTTTTAACCTTTTTTTTTGAACATTTTTTTTTTTAACTTTTTTTTTTTAACATTTTTTTTTAAACTTTTTTTCTTCTTTTTTTTTCTATTTTTTTTTTTTTAACTTTTTTTTAACTAAGGGACAGGGTGATGAAAAAGAGGAGTGTTTTTTATTTTAATTTTTTTTTATTAAGAAACCGTAAGTATAAAAAATACATTAAAATCTTAAATCTAGAATACATTTTTTTTTTAAACTTTTTTTTTCTTAATTAATAAAACTTATTCCTAAAAATGCATAATATAAAACTAAATCTAAAATACATTTAAAAACTTAAGTCTAGTATTTTTTTTTTACAATTTTTTTTTAACATTTTTTTTTTTAACATTTTTTTTTTTTCTTAGAACTATGAATAATTTTTCTTGGAGGCCTAGGCCCATTCCTCCAGGTCCCAGTTTTCGGGCTCGTCGGGCGGAGAGGGGCGTCGCCGAAGAGGATCTTCAGGTCCCAAAGATCCTCGAGGTCGTAGATGACCCCGCACTCCTCCTCTTGGGCCGCGAACTCCCGGGCCTGGTCCCTCAGGGCGCGAATCCAGCGGGCTCTGAGGGTGCTGGGACGGCTTCCGCTCTCCCACCGGCCTCCTCTCTGAAACAAAAAAAAAACAACGAATTAATATTAATTTTAAGAGGAAAAGAATAAAGAGAGAGAGAGAGAGAGCGAGGGAGAGAGAGAGAGAAAGGCGAAAAAAAAAATTACCAGGAAAGCCTGGCGCTCCTCTTGCTCCAGCCAGCCCTCCGACCGGGCATGGAGCTCCCGGATGGCGAAAATATTCTCGGCGTCCCACGTCTCTGTTTCCGGGTCCTCCCGACGGAACCAGAGGTTGGCAGCTCTCAGGCATGCCCTCTCCCGCCTTACGGCAACCATCTGAAAAGAAAAGAAAAAAATTAATACAGAAAAACGAGTACAAAAAAACACAGCAACAAAAAACGCAATATAAAAAACGGAAAAAAAAACCGACTACAAAAAAACACAACAACAAAAAACGCATTATAAAAAAGCAAAAAAAAAACACGAAAAAACGCCGAAAAAACACGACAAACAACAACGACTACAAAAAAAAAACACTAAAAAAACGCACTATAAAAAGCCAAAAAAAAACAACGAGAAAAGAAAACGCCGATAAAAAAAAAAGACTACAAAAAAAAACACAAAAAAAACGCACTATAAAAAGCAAAAAAAAACAACGAGAAAAGAAAACGCCGATAAAAAAAAACGACTACAAAAAAACACGAAAAAAAAAACACCGAAAAAAACGACTACAAAAAAAAATCACTAAATAAAAACGCGGAAAAAACACGAAAAAAAAGCACCGAAAAAAACGACTACAAAAAAACACCGAAAAAAAAACCACGAGAAAAAAACCACTATTTAAAAAAGAAAAAGACGGTTTAAAAATTTATAAAAAAAGAAAAAACGCGACAAAAGAAACGAAAAAAGCGCGAGCTACTATAAAAAACACGAGAAAACCACTCTTTAAAAAAGAAAAAGACGGTTTAAAAATTTATAAAAAGAGAAAAAACGCGACGAAAAACAAACCCCGAAAAACCACTGCAAAAAAAAAACGCGAAGCACTACAGAAAAAAACGCGAAAAAACACTACAACAAACACTAAAAACATCCACTTACCAACGAGATAAAAACCACGGCGATCACGGCCATTTTGAAATTTTTTTTTTTTTTTTAAACACGAGGCACTGGACACTAGAACACTGAGGTAAATTTGGAAGTGAGGGTTGAGAAATTTT